TTTTGGCTTTTATGGGTCAAAACAAAATTTTAAATGTATTAACTCATTTGATTTTCACAACTCTATAAGGTAAGCCCCATTATCGGCCCCATTTACCTGTGAGAAAACTGAGGCACAGAAAGGGGAAGTAACTTGCTTCAGGTGGCAAATACTGATAGGCCAGGATTTCAGACAGTCTGACCCCAAAGCCCATAGTCATAAATAATATGTATGCCCTATATCATTCCATTTGTTAAATAATGAAGGCCAGGCTCCTCAGCATGATATATGTGACTTTTTATAATTTAGAGTCACTGAATTCGGAGAGAGCTCTTGTTCAGACTTCAAGATGCTGCTCAAGTATCATCTTCTCTCTTCAGACTTGTTCTTTCCTCTTTCTTCATCTTTCCACATTCTCATCCCTTACCCATTCTTGATTCCTATTTATATACTAAGAATCAGCACGTTACCTTTTACGTCATATCTTCTTCACGTTTCCACCCAAAATAAAAATACTTCCCTCTCTAGTGGCACTTTGTACATTTCTCTATTAGCATACATAGTATTACTTTGTAAGTATTCATGCATATATCAGCCTCCCTTTCTAGTCTAGCTTTTGCAGACTGAAGGTTGTTGCATTCACATCCATTAATATGTTGTTAAATCAATTTAGTGTGTTATAAAAAACATTAGTTAATGAAATACAAAAGAAAACACAGCATAGTATGTATAGATAAATATATCTCCATGAATCTTTTATCTCAATTCTGTGTATATGTGTACGTGTGTATGTTTTAGACAAGGAGTTAGTTTCCAACTATTAGATCCCCATGCTTTTTACATGTGTATTAATCTAAGCCAAAAAAGATTGGAAAATGTGATCATTACATCTAACATGATGATATCTAATAATTTTTTAATTCCAGGTTTTTTGTTTTCTATTATAACTCCAATTAATTTGTTGCAAAAATAAGTACTGGCATGCATTGCATTTTGGTGAACATTGTCATTGAAAGCAATGAAAAAATTAGGGGATTTTTTTCCAAATATCTTAAGGTGCTGGGGAGTGTTGGAGAAAACCAGAGCTGAAAATATGGATCATACACCATGATTTATCTTGTAACTAAAATGTAACCAGCTGTCCTCTGTGTCCTCTGATCACAGAAAGAAATGAATGAGAACATGATAACTGATTAATGACATTCTAGAAACAATCTAACTCATTTTATATTAATAAGAGATTATAGTGAGTGATTTTAATCCTGTCAAGTTCTAACAGCCAATAAGAAAACATCAGATAAGGGGCAAAAACAGAATAAGAAATTCTCAATTTTTCATTTTAATTGATTGATTGATTTACTTACTCTCTTATCTTTCTATGAAAAGATCTTCCCATCCACCCACCCAAGAGGAAACATAGGATTGATTTTTTTCTACAGATTTACAAGTGTTTTAAAATTTTCATAGGGACTTACAAACATTTTGTTGTTATGTATTTGTTTTTAGTAGCCTCTGAAGTGGAGACTACACAGGTTTTCAAGAGTCAGATAGATTGTAGATGTCTTCTTAGAAACTAGGCATTTCAGTTCTGGAGATGATCAGCTCACGCAACACTTATACCTTTCCTCCAAGACACATAGTTGGATGTATAACTTAACTCCAGGAGAAAAGTACGTACGGCCAGACTTAATTTCTGACCCATTAATTTATTTTTTAATTTTTTATTGAAGTATAGTCAGTTTACAATGCTGTGTTAATTTCTGGTGTACAGCATAGTGATTCAGTTATATGTATATATGAATCAGTTATACATGTATACATATATATATTCCTTTTCATATTCTTTTTCATTATAGGCTATTGTAGAGTATTGAATATAGTGCTCTGTCCTATACAGTAAGATCTCGCTGTTTATCTACTTTATATATAGGAGTTAGTATCTGCAAATTCTCTGACCCATTAATTCTAACCCCAAACTTTTCTTCTCTTTTACACAAGAGAGGTTATCTGAATGCAACAAGTACAAGTGAGATTATTAAAATGTTAGCATTTATGTCACTCTATTACAAAAACACATCATTTCTAAACTTTACTATTTTAACTCTTGTTTGTAATAAGACACTTAAGACATGTCACAGCCAATCATAGCACACCAGTGTTAGTGATCATATTCAACACATTTAGCAAAGTTCCTTGTGCACTTGTAAGGGGGGAAAGCTATAAAAATACATCTCCATTGCTCACATTAGAACCAAAATTTTATCCTCTAAATCCAGTTTAAGTCATTTTATGCAGGATAACTGAATGCTGAAATTTTCTTAAGCTATTCAGCTCATAATTGTGACTCCGAAGGCTGATAAAGTGATGCATTCAGGCTTCTGTGCAAACCGAGAAGGGACTGCTCAGCGTGCTGGGATTAGGATGTGACACAATATCCTGGGTCAGGGCATAGATCTCATGCAGGAGAGGAAGAACTTCGGTGCTTTGCTATTGCTATTAAGAGACTCTAATTTATTATTAAACCGTCCTTGGATGGAAAGACCAATGATAAATTTATCAAGAAGCTTGCAAATATTCTTGAAGTGAGTGATTTCTCTGCATCTCAAATAAGAGTCTCATACAGGCATCAAAGTTAGCCAAGATAAAATATCCAAAATATTAACATGAGAAATTTTTATTTGCAAGTAAGTGATGTCATTAACCTGAAAAAAATGTCCTTCTCTTAAGATGACCTTCTAACTAGATTATTTTTCTGACCTAGATTTTTCACCTTAATGGTCCCATTTACTTCATACCTGTCTAAATGCTGATTTGGTTTTCACTTATATATGCCAGAAAATAAATCTGAGCACAATATTTCCTAGCTCTTAGACATCATCAACAAAGTTATAAGAAACTTCTTTAGCCAGAAAAAACTCTTATTAACACTTCTTAGAAAGAAACTGAAACATCACACAAGACAGCTAAATGTCCAAACACCTTGAAAGGTCCAAGACTCTTGTCTAGTAGCTAGTTCTAGAATTTGGGTTGCAGTAGTGAGCTAAGGCTAGTTCTTTCCTGAGACACCTAGAAGGGGAGTGAGTTCTTAGAGAGAGCTGAGGGTCCAGCCTCAGGGACTAATATCAGCCTCCCAGCCAACTACAATGATGTTGATAAGACAAATATAAGGACCAGGAGTCAGAAGATGAAAACAGAATGTGAATAGGGCTGGGGGCCAAGGGAAGAGGGTTGTAGGCAGTCGATTTTAATGAAAATAAAAGGAACTGAAACCAGGAAATGAATCAAATGGTTTAAAGGTGTAAGGAAGGCAGACAGAAACCCTAAAGACATTATTACCATTTCTCTTAGAGTATACACTAACTTTATATATAAAATAATATTGGCAACTTAGGGCTATCAAAACATTTATCTTAAAAGCACCAACTTCTTGCCAGTCATAGTCCTGATACTTCCACATACCCTTGTTTTATCAGACTGAAAGTCACAGTGTAACATAACCAGAGGATCTTGTACCCTGCACAAGGCTGATTTGTCCAGTAGTACCCATTTGACCCTAAACCAGGCAATCCATTGTCTATCCAGCAACCAAGGAAATATCTTTCTTAAGAAAAACATTGACTATACCTCAACTGTACTCATTGATTGGAAGGTGCTAAAACCAAGATCTCTAACTGAGATCTCCATGTATCTGGTACATTTGGATAACTAAGTAGAAGAGGCCAATCTTCACATGAAGAAAATGGAGCAGAAGTAAGAGACTAGAGTTCTAGAAAGAGCAAGAGAGACATAGGAAAACTATCTGCTTTGACAGCCAATAGTTTAACTAAAGATTCAGCTAGTTTGTATGAAATCTACCTACATGTACTTTGTTCAGTGAGCTCTTTATAGTCTTAACTCAAACCCACTCCTCTTTATTTGGTCCAGCTACAGTGGGCTTTTATCTTTTGTACCCAAAAAGGCTTTGGTTAGAGGCCATCATTATTCTTGTAATTCTTCACTGTTTTTGGAAGACCCTGAGCAGACAGAGAAGTCATCTAAAAAGAACAATAACTCTGGGAAGAGAGCAGAAAAAGATTAGAGAGGCTATTAAGGATAAGCTGTGTCAGCATCAATGTTATCATGAGAGTTCAGCCTTTATACTCAGAAACGCTTGTGCCTGCACATACATGCATTTGCATACAAGAGTATAAAATATCATATATTCATCATATGATTTAAAATCACTGTAGTTTTTGATGAACTTAGAGGTAACTTCACTCATAACTTATAATTGTTCAAAGTGGCTTAATAAGTGTTCCTTTTCCCCTTGTTTTTCTTGTACTCCAAGTTAACAATAATTATTCTCTATTCTACTCAAGGAGAAAGTTGGAATATCTGTTTCTTTATGCCATAAGGCTACTTCTTAGCTGAATTATGAAAAATGTTGAGCAGGTAAAGGAACTTGAAAAAGGACAGTTTCATTATTTTTATGATGAAAAAGAGAAAATTGGATAATTCTGCTTATAAACCTTTAGGGGAAGGAAAGTCCAAAGGGAAAATGTGCTGCCAAAAGGAAAAAAGTTTCAGTCAATGCTTGTTGACAGCAACATGCAAAAATCTCAAACAAGAAAGAATAACTAGACATTCTAGTTTATTGATAGACATCTCCAAGTTCAATATAAAGGCCCAAAGAGAAGTTTTCTAGTAAATGGCATAATTAGTATTTGAAAACCATGTAAGGCTTTTTTCCTTTTAAAAAGAGTAAATAGTAAAGTATGAAGGTTTTTTTAGGAAGCTATCTCATTCTATTGTATTTATTTGTTTAATTATGTGTGTGGATTTTGTTGTTGTTTTGTTTCAGGGTATGAAGAGTAGGTCTTGATAAATTTCTAAATTTTTTTCATGATTATCAACTGCAGATATAATTATGATTATTTATATTTTCTTAAAAAGTACGTATTTTATCCGTACTATCAAAGTTACTTACATATTGCCATTTAATTGTCTTGGTGTTTATTGTTATTTCTTCTTTTTCCTTTCAGGTTTTGGGCTTTTTATACCTTTGGATAGGTAAGTCAGTGATATGTATATTTTAGTGGTTCATTGAAAATAGTAGCTTTTAAAATTATGTATCATTTTTTTCTGTTTTTTAAATCATCAGTATTTTTATTGCTTTTTTTTTTCTCTTTCTTGTTGGAATCTGAACTTGCTAAGACATTGGAGAGGTGGAGGCAGGCTATTATTTAGGGATGTCTGGACATTATTGTATAAGAACATTCTAGTATAGAGCCTGCATATAAACAAAAAGAATTTCAGTTTTTTCTCTCAACACTTGTAGAATCCTGTGTGTATAGATAATGTCTTCAAAATCCTCATGCCTTATAGGCAAACCAGAGACAAAGAAAAAATAATGTACTGAGATGATTCTGTTCCTATTCTGTGTGACCACCTCGAGCCTTTTAAATCATATATCCTTGACTAAATATATCTGCACCTTATAAAAATAAATGATTAAGTGTATAGTTTCTTACAGTCAATTCATATCGAAACTGAAATCTTCTATTTTTTTATTCATCTACTTTAATTGAATGTTTAAGGTTTTTTTCTTTCTTTTTTAACAACATGTTTAAACAGATTTTCTCTCTGTACAGCTTTTGACATGACTCTTGGATTTGGATTATGATGTACTTTGTTTTTATTTCTATATATTCTGTCTTTTGTTTTTACCCCCAATGAGAGAGAGAGAGAGATTATTTAAATTTTAAACTTGTTTTCTGTATTAATTTCTAATTGTATTGCTACCTGGACATAAAATGATTCAAAACCTCATCTAACCTTCTCAGTAATAGGACACATCTCTGACAACAAGCATATTAACATAATTATATAAGGGAAAGCAGAGGTCAGGTCTACCATTTAGGACTGTCCAGAGCACCAACTAAGCTGTCTTCTTCTCCAGAACTCCTAAAACTCCCACTCCCACCTTCAAGTTCTAAGAGAAAATAAAATCAAAGGAGAAAGTGACAAAGCTGGTAAAAAGGACCTTTAATTATAATTAAAGGAAAATTCCATAAATCATAAGCTACCAAAAATACAGCATCAATAGAAGCATAAAAGCTAAGCCATAAAAAGAAAAGCACACCATGGTAGAATATTGAATTTATCACACTCAGTGTATTATAGCTGTAGTGGGTAAAAATTTCAGTAAACATATAAAATATCTATCCCTTAGACCTAGTTGCTTCCCATGACATACAAGGACCTCCATCCTAATCCCTCACACCCATGCCCACCTCACTGCATCCTTCATCTCTACCTGATGTCATAGGCACATCAAACACTGAGTTTCTTGAATAATGCGGCATTGCTTCTAACTTGCTCTTATACCATTCTGCCTTGACATATGTTTTTCTTTCCCTTTGGATGAGTTATTGTCTCCTTCTTCCACTGGGGCTAATTCTACAACCCAGATTATGCCATGATTTGGGAGGTTGTACTTTGGGGTAAGAAAGCACAGGTTGTAGGGTCACACTTGGTTAAGATCCCATTAACAGTATAACACTGGAAATGATATTTGACCTCCTGTGTTTCAGTGTCCTCGTTTGCATACTGGCAATAATATAACCTAACTCATAGAGTTATGGTGAGAATTAAATAATTCTCTGCACAAAGAAAACATGCATTCAAGTTATTAAAACGTTAGACTATTCAAATGTTGTTTTTAAGGCAGCAGAAAACACCTTAGAAAGACCTGTTACATTGCACAAACATGTAACAGAAAATGTTTCAAATTTCACTAATCCATCTAAGTCGGTAATCCCTTTCTGACTAATTAAAGGTTAGAAAAGGTCGTATATCTTCTAAATAAATAAATGCCTCTAAATAAATAGTTTTTAGGTAAACACACTTCTTCTATTCTTCATATAGAAACCTAAATTTGCAATTCGAAGAAGTTAATAGAACTATAATTTGGAGGAATAAACAATTGCCTTACTTGACGTGAGACAGTACTCTAGATAACACACAGATCTCAGAAGAAAGCCAGCAAAATGAACTCCACGTCAAGCCTGCATTCAGTGTTCATTCACAGCTCTAAGGGGGAGATTATAATGTTTAGGTGGTAGATCTTGCTCTATAAAGTTAAGGAAAGCAAACCTCTGAGGCATCCAGGTGAGCCTATGCTTCAATAGTTTCAAACAATTTAGACATGTGAAGACCAAGGTCCTATCCTGCTCTCATTTCCTTATCTAACCGGGAAGGTCAAAATTTACTCATGGGTTTATTACATTTAAGTAATTTGGGGACAATGAGAAATTCCATTACCCTTTATATTACTTCACTTTACTTTACATTAGGAATATAATTCAATGATTATAATTAGGAATTGTATGTATATAATTAGGAATTATATGTATATATAATTAGGAATATGTAATTAGGAATTATATATATATAATTAGGAATCATGTATGTATGCGCATATATATATATATATATATATACATATATATATATATATCCCAAAGAGTTCACATTGAAATGTTATTTGTGTCTGGATAACATTTTATCTTATTTATATTTTTCTTGATGATCTCTATTTTCTGAATGTTCACAGAGAATACATATCATTATAGTAAATTGCTATTTTGATCAAGCAGAAGAAATACCTCTGCTAAGTCTCTGATTTATCTGATTTTATTCCAAGCACCAACGAGAAAACAGACTTTCATTAAACTATTTGCCTAAAATATAAATAAGTTAAATTTCTAAGTCAAAAATACTTGAAAGGGAGTTTTCAAGTTATGTTGTTATTGTTGTTTCTTTGTTTACTTTTTAAAGCAACCTAACAGTCTACTAGACAATAAATCACCATCTGGGAAAAGAATCATTTAGTTAATCACTATAATAGTGTTCAGCTCTTGGCACAAATAGGTTTTATTTTCATTCATTCATTTTCCTCACTGACAGTTTTTGGGATAAAATAGCTTCAACCAGTAATAGGATGATGATCTGTCCTTTCTCTTATATGTACCAACCCAATTGTTTTCTTCTCTACACCCATCAGGAGCTTATGTTTTATATATATATATATATATATATATATATGTGTGTGTGTGTGTGTGTGTGTGTCTTATATTATATGTATATAATATATATAAATGAATAAAATAAGCTTAACTTATATTGCTGATCTTTTCATTTCTATCTGTTTATCTAGTCCTTTGCAAGGTATGGAAGTGTATAGGAGATAAAACAAAAGTTATCAAATTCCAAGGATAGAATCATATGGTATTACAGCTGGAAGGAACCTTAGGAATCTGGTTAGCTACCACCTCATTTTGTATATGAGAATACTGAGGTCCAGAGAGGTGAAATGCTAGTTAGAGTCTACAGGGCTACTTAATGTCTTCCTTACAGGTTTGTTACTATCGCCAGTTCTTGCCAGCAGAAAAAAAGTTATTCATTATGAAATCCATAGACATTATAAAAGTAAGTAAAATGCTGAGATACTGCCACCACCCAACGGCTGGACATCTCCAGGACTATTATGGGCTCTGACATTCAGCCATAGATCTAACCATTGCATCTTGGGCAGTTAGGTAGCACTTTGCAATTGGTTTGATGCTTTCCAAATCATTCACTCATTCATTCATGTTAATTGAACACCTTCCAGGGTAAGGTGTCACATGAAGCCCCAAGGAACTGTCAGAAGGTGAACCATACTGAAGGGTTCCTGCTGGCTTGGATCTTATACCTCTGACTGTGGAGAGAAAACAGCACATAAACCAGGGAACAAATGCACAGGTAATTAAGATAAATAAATGCTATGAAGAAAATGGGTATTATGGTTTTGATGAAAGGGTGAAAGAGGGCCTCTCTGAGGAAGGGAAATTAATCTGAAGTCTTTTGTAGGAAAATTAGAATAAAACTAATTTATTTTCTAATCATAATTTTTTAAATGCCATTTTTTAATACATTTCAAACTGAAAGCTCAAAAAGTCAAATTTACTGTAATGTGTGTTCTGCTTTCTACCAAAGAAATGCTTGTTAATATGTACCAACTAATTTTCAATAACCCTGTCACTCAAGTAGCTTTTTCATCTCCAACTAATACATAGGACCAGGGGATTATCATAAAGATTAAATTGTTTGGTGAAAACTAAACATGTTTTCTCTTTGAAAGCTTTTCTCAAGGAGTTTCACTGGAACAATTGTTCCAAGAGTGAACGTGAATATTAACATTGAAACTATGAACAGCTCTCTGCTGCCTCTATTATTCTGTTACCCAGGGTAAATGGTTGCGCCTGTCCCCACTCAAAATACAAAAAAAAAAAAAAAAAAAAGGCGAAGGGAGAAGGGGGAGGGGAGAAGGAGGAGAAGGAGAAGAAGAAGAAAAAGATAATCTATTTTATTAGAAGTCTCAAGAAAGTGACTTTAGATCCCTTAGGGCTACTGCTTTATCTCCTGGAAAATGGAATAAATGAAAATTTCAAGAAAAGATATTTACAAACTTATCAATAATTCTCAATCTGGTGCCGTTTTAACCATTTTTTAGAAAGCCTGGAGTTGATCCACATTAAGGCAACTTTTAAATAGCATTAATAAATGTCGTTCACAAGAAGGATATATAGTTGCATTAAATCCTCATCCAGACAAACTGACAGAACTCTAGCCTAAAGCACAATCCTATTTGCAACTGATCTTCTGTATTTAACATCAATGAAGCAGTATCTTACAGTAAGTGAACTTGCTGATTCATCCAGAGGCTCATGCAATAATAAAGCTGTTTATATACTGATTAACACACTAATGAATTACATCTCCATTTCTAAGCATCTATTTGATACCGGAAATGTTTGCCTTACCTCCTAAGCCCTAAACTCTATCAGTAAGCACAAGCTCATTTAACTATGTTCCTTGCTACTCTTATTAGAGGAGGTACAAACAATTCTTAGGCGATTAACTAGCAAGCAGAAGGCACTCTTCACCCAAACGTACTGTGGTAATAAAGCCCTTAGGGTGAAAGCAATTAGAAAAATTGTAACTTGCTCATAAAATAGTAAACTGAGTGAAATTTCGATGAAAGGAGTAGAGTGTGTACCTCTGTTTCTGCTAGCAAGACATTGGGATAAAATAGGATTCATAGTTTATTTGTTTATATTTTTTAAAATCTAAGAATAAATTCAGGAAAGCAAAGAAATAAGCAGAAGCTCTGGATGCTAAGTGGAAAATTCCACTGAGATTTGGATTATGAATTTGCATCTTACCTTTATCAAAAATATCAAAGTCTCCTTCAGTGATGGGCAGGCCATTAAAAACTTTGATGCATGGCCTCCATTAAAATGGGATTAGTGTCTCTTGCAAAGAAATTCAGAGGATTGTAGCAGTGAAGAGGAGGAAAAAGAGGAGAAGTAATTCGATGTTTAAATCTCATCCAAATATGGAGATAACATCAGAAAATGTTAGAGATGCATAGAGATGTTACAAAATTGCTTTCACAGTACATGAAAATCATGGTCACTGCTAGTCTATCATAATATTCTTTAAGGGATTTTTGATCCAGGTACTTTAGATTTCAGCTCTTAGCTGATAACAGCCTGCAAAACATCATCATGAATTAAACATGGAAGGAGCACACAACCCAGAGTAATACAAGGGGAAGTTGATCAGGTTTAGTTTCATACGTGTGCAGTTAAAAATGAAATGCATCAGGAAATATTTTTAGAGCCAAAGAAAGTAGCCTTACAGAAGAGTAAACAAAAAAAGGATAAACTAAATTATAAATGTACCTTCTGCAATAGATTTTCTAACTTAGTATTAGAAATATAAAAAACACCTCCAGAGACAGTGCCTTAATCATTTCTCAGAAGGCAGGTGCATACCTACTATGTGCCCAGTACATACTAGTGGCTGGGGAATAAAAATATGAAGTCAAAGCTGTTCTCACCTTCATGGAATTTATATTCTAGATTGGGGGTGGGGGAGTGAAGCAGATGACAGATAAGTAAATAGTGACAAATAAAGATGAAGCTCCTACCCTCTGGGGGTTCACAATCAAGTTGGGGGAAAAGATATAAAAATAAATAGTCACACCAATATAAGAAGAAGCAGAAAAAAACACTTCAGATATGGATGGTCAATCTCTGTCATTTATCACCCTGTCCTCATTTGATGAACAGTAATTTCTATAAGGGCCAGTCCAGGCCCCAACAAAGTCATATACTATCAGAGATGCCAGTTATGAATGACAGCAGGAGAAATTAAACGAGGATTGTGAAACACTTCACCAGTTGGGTTACTCTAGAAATCTCCCTAGCCATGATTAAAGGTCATAAACAATCTATTTTTATGGCAGTACCTATGTAAATGTAGACATTGCAACATATACAGTAAAACATTGCTGTCTGTGCTATAGGAAATGGCTCTAAGAATGGTTTCCCTAACTCAGGAAGTTTGATTCCTTACTTGGCCAATTATTACTTTCCCATGTTCTTCCCAATTCCTTTGAAGTCTGAAAGTCTCAATGTTCTCCCTCTGGTTTAGAGGTTCATATTCAAATATGTTGCATGGAATTTATGATCTCTTAAACCATTAATCACCCAGTCATCCATAGCTTCTGTGATGACATGAACAAGGATAGTAGTTTCCAACCATAATATGCAAAATCCCAGAGATTCTTAGTAACACCTCAAAGATCATGCAGGAGCAACTCATACTTTTACAGGATTTATAGCCTGGTCTCCAGTATAAGACTTTCTGCATTGAAAAAACCTTAAAAGCCACTGATGTAGATACCATGAAACAATCTATGTAGAAAATGCACAACACAGTATCAGTAACAGCAGACACTTCATGTTAAAAAAATCTTATTTTCAGAAGCAGATTCTGGCACTCTTCTCTACATAGTGAAGCATCCTAAACAAAGGTGTGTTTGGAGGTTGTTGGCTTTTACTAGACAGTCAGCTTCCTAGGTTGGAAGTGTTTCTGCTCCTACATTCTGACATCTATTAGGTTGAATTTGTCCCTTTCGTAGCCCTTTCTGTTGTCCATAATGGTTGGTAAAGAGATCATTTTGATGTCATAGTCATACATCTCACTCTCCTTCAGAACCATTCCAGGTAGCAAACAATAATCTATAGGGCTGGGAAGAGAAAGGAAGGTGGTACCAGTTTACCATCTCTTGCCATTCAGGTGTCCTAATAATTTCATTGAAGTTTAAGAATTGTTTCACAAGCACTCATTAAGAATTCACTTCGGTATAAAACAAAGAACTGAGGAGATCACCCAGCCAAAACAATCTCGGCCACAAAACAGTCTATGTCTCCTACCTTCCCCTATCCCTGACTGTTTATTTTGTGTTACCCTGTAGTAAATTCCTACGTTTTTTCTCCTTCCTTCTTCTGTTCTCTGATGTTTTTTGTCTTTCTTCTCCATTTGCTCTTTGGTTTACTTTTCTCCTCCATAATTAGGCATATATATGTGGTTAAAGCAGAGCATTATAGTCAGTAAAACATGGATTCATATCTCATCATTTCACAGCTGTGTGATCATAAGGAACTTCTCTGATTTTTAGTCTCTGCCTCCTAAAATGAAGATAACAATACTTATATCATAGGTTCTTGTGGGAATTAAATTATGTTGATTCTTTTTATGTAGCTCACTCTTATTTGAGATATCATAAATATTTAATAAGTGGTATTTATCATTACCTGTTATTTTCACCATTAAGCATAAGTTAGTGCTGTTTCCCAAGCAGTCTCCTTTCTTCCCCATATTGTATTATTTGAAACTCCACTGTTTCTCACTACTTTGTATTCTCCAGAGCTAATGATGATAAAGAGAGCAAAGAAGAAGAAAAAGAAAAAGAGGAAGAAAAGGGGGAGAAAGAGGAAAAGAAGAGGAGGATGAGGAGAAGGAGGAGAATAAGGAGGAGAAAGAAGAGAAGAGAAGTTGGTTAGAGTGGTGGTTGTAAAGAAAGGTAAGATCTTGTATTTGTTCTGTTCTCACTATAGCATTACTTTTATTTTCACATTTAATACTCAAAAGTTTAGAGAGGTCAGTTATTATCATCAAATTATTATCATCATTTCTTCATTGAAAAATGAGAGGTAAATTAACTTGAAGAAGTTTACATAGCTAGTGTGTTGGTTTGGTTTCTTGAATAATCAGAGGATGGAATCAGATGTTCAAAAGATTTATTGAGGGAAAATGCCTGTGAAGGATGAAGGAGAAGGGAGCAAGATCAGGCAGGAGATCCTTCGAACCAGTACACAGGCATGACCCCTGTGAAAGGAGAAAGTACATGAAGATTGAGGTGAAAGAGTTTCAGACTTCATGGCAGTTCCAAGGAAGTCTTGACCAGGTTGATGGGGTGTCACTGTGCCAAACCCATTCATGAGAGTGGTCTAGCTTCAGACAGTAGTCAGACACCAGAGTCCTTGCCATGCTTGGCCACTGACTGGAAACAGCTTGAGGGGAGCATGACCTCAGCTGGTGCTTTTGAAGGAAACCCAAGTGGTGCATCGTATGGCCCCCAAAGCTCATAATTAGCAATGCCAGAATTTGAACCTAGAATGTGTGCACTTAAACCTACACTTACCTACAAAGGATTTCTGTCTATGATATCAGCAGTGGGACGATTCAGCTTACTTTTAGAGGGAAGAGTTTTTTTTCTGAATGATGAGGATGGAAATGCTCAGCTTAGAAAATAAACCATTTTATGGCAGTGGATAAGGTATGTGACTGAGCTCTCATATGGAAAAAGAAAAAGCCCAGGATTTTTCCTAAGAAAAAGCACTGGATTTGCAGTAATTTATGAACTCAACTACTATATCATCCAGTGAAAGAGTTTAGAAAACCTACGTCTTTTCTCTGTCTCCCTCCCTTCTATTGTACAGTAAAAACTGAAGAATGTTGCTATCAGTTGGTTAGTTTACTGGACAAAAGCCTCAATGGCAGATTTTTAAAAAGATTATTAAAGAAGAGATGTGGGCATAGTCTCTTTTCAAATGTACTTTCTCCCTAGAAGCTAATTAAATGAGAGCAGTTCCGGAGTTTTCTCCCTTTTGGAGGTCCTTCTCACTTTTTTTTTTTTAAAACTCGGAGTCGACAAGTGTGGCTTCATGGATAAGATAATGAGACTTAAGATCTGATGAAATCGAGGAAAATACTAAGAGCATGTTCAGATTAGAAGAAATGGGAAAATAAAGTGGATTATTTAGTAGAAATTTGTTGAGGGGCTCTTTTTTACTGGCAGAAATAATTATTAGATTTAAGTAATTCCAGAGGAGAAGTGAATATCAAGATCAAATATCAAGTAGACTCCTACTGAGGCATAACATTTCAGACATGGCGATGAATTTATTCTGAAGCTATGCTGGCTACAAACGAACAGCACTTTGCTACAAGAAAAAGTGATATCCCTAGACAGGGTCCCCAGATAATTCAACACTGAAGTATCAGGAATGTAGAGGGGCAAAGACGAGATGGAAAGAATGGAGGTTTCATGTAAAATACGAACAGTAAGAGAAAGACGGCGTCCTCAGGAAAGTCTAATGATTAGCAGAGCCTCTATATCAAATGTTAAAATCTTGCAAAAATACAGTACATTTTATTTGCCACTTATAGAAAGGAAACAAATGGTATTCGGCATGGATTCCCCATTTTCAGGATATGAGAATGATTTTGTTTCAACTAAATTCATAATGAGAGATTAATATCATGTGAGTTTAAAGTCGCAGATTCTACACTTTCAAAAACTGGCTCAGATTGAACCAAACATTGACAAAGCTGTTTTGTTTTTTGTCCTTTGCTGTACCTTGTTTCTTTTATGTTTAATTTTCTCCCAGATAAATCTCTCTTTTGATCTATGGTTCATGCAATGACGTTTCTCAAGATTAAAATGTTTGTTGTACTACGAGACTACTGCTTTTGTTGGAGGAACACTGTTCAATTAGGCAACTGGTATTAAGATTGTTAGTTGCTGCAGCAGGAGTAATTGGTGCTCCAAGTCTTATATATATATTCTGTTTATCTTCTGGGAAAAATAAGGAGAGTTAGAATTGGGTGAATCCCATTTAAGAGGTGTTTGCTGGTGTTAAAGGAACAACTTTAACTTCATGGAATTATAGCTCAGACTACAGCTAGTGAAGAAGAAAACCAGATATCCAGCTAATCACTGCTGCCTAGGACTGTGTCAACTAGGAAAAAATGGAGAAAGGGTGTTGGTTTCATACTGAATTAGAGATTCTAATTTTTATGTACTAACAAAATGATAGGAGAGTCCTTACATTATGAATTTAATTTCTGTAAGGAAATAGGTATTGAGTTAATAATGGGAGTCATACTGTGCAAACTTAAGGTATGTTATATCATATAAATTATATATCATAAAATGATTATTGATCATATATCATAATACATAAATCACTTATCATCAAATGGTTAGGAACATGGGCTCCAAAAAAAAAAGTAAGAAACAGATCTAGGTTGAAATCATAGATTCAATATTTTTCTGTCAGCCTTCTAAATTGACAACTTAAACTTTCTGAGTCTTAATCTACCTACTTTAATACCAGAATAATGAAACTGCACACATACTTCATAGTGTGTGATGATTAGTTTTATGTGTCAACTTGGCTAGGCCATAGTACCCAGATATTTGGTCTAACATTTTAGATTTTTCTGTGAAGGTACTTTTTAGATAATTAACATTTAAATCAGTAGACCTTGTGCAAAGCAGAGTACACTCCATAATGTGGGTGGGCCTCACTGAATCAGTTGAAAGCCTTAATAGAAAAAGACTGACTTACCAGGAAGAAGAAGGAAGTTTTCCAGGAAACTGTCTTTGGACTCAACTACAACTCTTCCCTGGGTCTCTAGGCTGCCAGTTTACCTTGCAGATTCTTAACTTTCCAAGCCTCCACAATACTGTGAGCCAATTCCGTAAAGTAAATTTCTTTCTCTTTCTCAGTCTCTCTCTCATTCTCTCTCTCTCAAGAGATTTTATATATATATATATATATATATATATATATATAT